TGCCTGATTAATGTTTGCATTCATCTGCACAAGTAATTAAGAGCAACTGAGAGAAAAAAACTCTTAAAGTTTAATTAAATGCTTTTTTTGAAACTATAAGTATTTCTGACTAAGTTTCACTTTTAAAACTTACAAAAAAACCAGGGGTAGTTGAAGGTACACAGGTCAGGATGATATATGGAATTCCCTTGTGTCATCACAGACTTAAGCTAAATATTTTTTTCTTCCATAATTTAAGTAAATAGGGTCTGACTGTAGCACTGGAACTGGCTAGAGCGCTTTTTTTTAAGTAGAACTAAGACCCATATAGCAGTATACTTATCCAGTATGATCTAGTTTGGCAGATAAATATAAAGCCCTTCATAATTCTAGCATTTACATTGCACTGACATAAGAAAGGTCTTATCGGGTAGTTCAAGCAAGAATTTGTGGCTAACTATGCCTCTTTTATAGTTTCTGTGTGGTGTTTTGTTATTGTTTCAGGTTTAAGAAAAATCTGCATATATCCTTACTGCAGATATCAGGTTATAAAAAGCTGTATTTGAATGTGGAAAATCTGAGGAAGGTCCCATATGACTCAGAGAATGAAGAACATGAGGAACAGTTAATTGAGGTGAAAAGTCTTTTACGTACAAAAGCCATTTTATTTGTTTTTCCTCTCCAAATCCCGCTGCTTGAATAAACTTATTTTGCCAATAGCATTCTTAGCAGCTGGCCTATTTAAAGCTCTTTTCTACTTGTGAACTGCTACACTGTCACAGAAGTGACACATTAAATTACAACATCAAAGCAAACTCAGTTAGTACACTGTAGAGTTACTTACACTGGGATTATTTTGTGTGAAATGAGACACGACAACACCTAAGTAGTAAAATAATTTTCTAAGGGGTCACTGAAGGATTGTAACTAAAAAGATATTTAACATTATGCACATGTCTAACTTTGTAAACCAATAACTGCTAAGCAAAAAGAAGACACTAGTGTTTCCTTATTACTGCATCCCAGTCAACGTCAGAGGAGTGCTGGAAGATAAAAACTACGAGTAATGTATTTTAGATAATAATAGCAAGCAAATAATATAATGTTTGAGGCTTTCTAAAATAGCTTCTACTATGCAAATACATTAACATGTCATTTTCTCAGCCTTTCAAAGTTAGCTCAGCTTGCTCGGCAAGTCCCAACACTGACATGTGAAGTAGGCATTCACTGAGAATTCATATTTCAGTTTATAGCTGTCCTGTCAGAAAATGATGCAGAAATTAATTTCCGAAGTGAAACGAGTCTTTGTTTCATTAGTACTGATATGTCTTTTTCCACAAAGGAAAATTATCATGTTTAATGCTAAATTCAGTCGTTTGCCACTAAGAGAAAAGAACAGCGTGCAGATTGCATCCTAGTCCTTGGTGATGGGTTTCTAACATGCAGGAGGCAAGTGTTCTGAATTATGCGCCCGGGAATGCTTTGCCAGCTGTGCCTAACATGGAAGCATATTCGTGCAGCTCTGGAATTTGCTGATGCCCCACGAGAATCTGAAGGCCAGGATCACCAAGCAGTGGTGCGACATCGGCTTCCAAGGTGATGATCCCAAAACAGACTTCAGAGGAATGGGCCTGCTGGGGTTAGTGAATTTAGTGTAAGTGAAAAGCAGCATTTCATTTCTGTTGTAACTAATTTTTCCATATCTATGTGTTTTCTGTAGTTGGTGCTATTTCTAATATAGAAGCAAAAAAGCTTCTGTACAGTGAAAAAGCCAATATTTTCTAAATAAGTCAACATTTCTAGCAGCTGCACATCTGTAAATGGGTGGTTGGGTAGAGGCCAACATGCGAGGAGAGGAACAGAAAGTTGCCCAAGACACCTTATGTTTTTGTTGTCATGCAATAGATTTGACAGACTGTAACTTAGAAGAGAATTTTACAGAAGCTTTTAGCATTTCTGCATTAATTACTGTAATGAAAAATAAACAGGTTTGCAGAACTTTGCTTGGCTGAACTTAATATTTGACTTAAAAATCGCAATGACTTTTTATTTTTTTTACTGTATTAGTCTATGCTGAATATAATTTAATTAAGATAATTTAATGCTACCTATTCCTTGGTTTTCATTGTTTGCCATTTTTCAGTACAGAGTAGCACTCAGCTTTAGTTCAGAGCTACATATTGTGATGTTATACACATTACTATTTTTTTATATGAACTTAAAAAATAATGGAAGATCCTGTTTTAAACTGACAGGTATTTTAGTAAGCATTACACCGATGAAGCTCGTCAGATCCTTTCCCGTTCCAATCACCCAAAGCTGGGGTAAGTCACTATATGACTTTTTCTGGCTTCTTCTGTGTAAGAGCTCATGTGAAGATTACCAAGTAGGGTCCTGAAAATAAACAGAAAATATTTTTGTTTTTTTCCATTAAAGGATAAAAAAAGGGCTAAATTCGAAAGGCGTGAGAAACTGAACACACAAATCAGTTTCAGGGTGGGAACTAAGTGCAGCTCTTTTTTTTTTTTTTTCCTTTTCGGAACAGAGTTGTTGGAAAATACTGGCTTTCGTTAACACAGTGAACACCTTTAACATCATAGTCAGCTTTATTTGCAATAGGCTTAGATTAGATTTAGAAACAAACAATTATTTTTCGCTTTGTTACTGACCTTGTATTGAGATGGTATAGATTATCTCTTAAGGTCCCTTTTTGCTGTAATAACTATCTACAAATACATGTTTTGTTGTTGTTGAACTTTAACCTCATTTTGTGTATTAAAACGTTTAGTTCATTTTACAGGGAAGTACACTTTCACACCAGGTTACGTACAGAGGAAAGGTAAACCTGTGTACGTTATCTGATCCATCTAATCCTCAGTTAACTCAGTCACCTACCAAGAATGGGAAACTTTCATGACTTGAATTGTAAATAATATTTATTACCTTGTACAATGAGGTCATTGTACATTGTACATTGTAAATAATATTTATTACCTTGTACAGTGAGGTCATTGTACATTGAGGCCCTTATCAGTGACAAAAAGTAATAAATTTTTTTCTTCCTCCTGAAACATTAAACAGTGCTTTAAGAATATATGTTGTGGTGCGTTCCATACCATGCAACAGAAAACCAGATTTTTTTTTTCAGCTTGAAGAACAGGTTGAGATGGCCATTCGATTTATACCGTAACAACATTTTTTATATCCAATTCTTAATCAGATTTAATGATTCCAGATGAACAAATTAACCACGTTGATTTGCCTTATGATCTCATTATCACCTAGTGGAGGCATTTGCCATACTAGTAGAGCAAACTAGCGTTTTTAAATAACTTTATATGGTTGGATGCACCAGGGAATTGAAAGAGTGGTCTCTAGGCTAGAGTCAGCTTGTCAACAAGCATCGTAGGGAAAATCGACCCTGACTGTTTTCCTCATGTAGACTGTTTCAGGGAAACCTTTAAGTCCTTTGATCTAAAAGCTAAACTGTGACCTGCGATTGGTTTTGCAGATACTCTTATGCAATAGTTGGAATCAACCTGACAGAAATGGCATACAGCTTACTTAAGAATGGTGCTTTGAAGTCTCATCTGTACAACGTGGTCTCTGGATTGCCGCAGCTGGAGCACTTCCATCAGTTTTACTGTAAGTATCTGTAGGTTCTTTAGTACAGACTATCAGGGGAGACCTACAGTATAGAGTTTAGGTTCTTTTGGCATGCGTGTCTACTCTTTTCTAGTTAGCCAGAGCAAGCTGTTAATCTTCTGGATCAGATCTGGAAATGCTTCAACACTGTGCTACAGGATTGTATATTTAAAGGATAAATTTGGGTGGCTTTCTGTATATTAGAGACTGCAGTCTGAAAACTCAGTATCTGCAGATTTATCTATTTATCCATTATTACAGTGTCTAAAAGCTTGCTGTTGAGCAAGTGGGACAGTCCCCATTTTAAGGGATTGAACAGACTCTAAAGGATCATTCTAGGTCTAGCTAGATCAAGGCAGAAAATTGGGGAGGTCATTTTTGCAGATCTCTATTTTATTTTCTTCACAGGTTATCTGGTTTATGAGTTTGACAAGTTCTGGTTTGAAGAAGAACCAGAAAGCATCATGCACTTCAACCAGTACAGAGAGAAATTCCATGAAAAAATTAAGGGACTTCTGCTGGATTGTAACGTGATCCTAACCTTACAAAATAAAAAGAAACCGTAACTCCTCTGCAATCTATGAGATTCTGCATCAAAAAAGGAATGCATTTGGATGGAAGTTCTGCATATTTCACCAGAAACTGTTCAACAATAGAACGTCCTTTTTTACATTTAAAAAGGAAAATAATCAAAATTCAGTTAAGAAAGCTTGGACAATCAATCTCTTGTTTACAGGTCTTTATATGCTATTCTCCAAAGGACAGCTTTTTAAAAACAAAACAAAAAACAACCAACAGACCAACACAAAAAGCAACCTATAAAGCTCAAGAGCCTCCGGATCACTGTCACAGTCTTTTTTATATACTTCCTAATGCAAGAGCATGAAGCAGGTATTTATGCTGCATCATATTTTCCATGAATAGGTTTGACCATTGCCTTTTAATAACTTTTTTTAGTTGAAATTAATCTGGGTTTAGACTTTTTGTGTTCTTGTTCTCTACATGAGGTGATCGTTCACTCATCAATGTTAAATTTTTGTTTAGGGGATGTATTTATGATTTTGGCAAAGAGGCTTAACCAATGAACATACTGATATATGTAACAGAAATTACTTCTGGGTAAGGAAGTATTTTTATCTGTCGCTTTGCACGAGCAAATTCCCCGTGCTTGGAAAAAGCTTAGTTTGCAAATAGACAAAAAGAAACACAAATAATCAGTGTGAGGATCATATCCTCAGACTAAAGGTACTCCTAAAAATATTCCTACTGTAAAAATGTAAAAATTCTTTCTAACCTGACTTCAGCTGCTCAGGTTGCTTGACTTTGTTATCAGCCCTTTTTTAGCAGTAATGGGAATACAAAAGGTTTAATGTAGCCCTTTTATAAAGTTCACTCATTGAAAACCTTTCTTGCAGTTGCAGTCCCTATTTTGTGAAAATAAATTCACCCGAGTCTCTAACAAAGATATTTTTTCTACAGAAGGGATGTAACTGCAACATGGTCCTTAGTCTTGGCATCCTCAGACAATCTAGTCAATAAGACTTCATATCTGTATTATGACTAATGGTTGCTTAAAGCAACTTTAAACAGATTGGTATGACCATCACTTCATTTTCTAAAGCCTACTGTTAAAGAAGTGCCTTCTGCTTTATTCAATCAGTGTTTATTTTATTCTGTAACCAGATCATAGCCTTAGAAGCTTGAGTTACTTGGAAAAGACTCTTTCAGTATATATCGAAATAGCACACAGCGGCACAAAATTTGTACACTACTAGAAGTTTTCAAGCTTTTTTTTCGTTTTTTAATCATCTCAGGTAAATTACTTAACTTCTAGTCAATGACTAATCATGAATAAATGCCTGAAGAATACAAAAACAACACAAAAAGAAAGAAACCCTTTTTTATAATGAGAGACGTTACACTACATAAATACTAAATGTATTATTATAATATGTAACAAACACTTTGTCTCTTTGGAGGTCATCAAAACTCAAAGGGACATGGGCCAAAGCAGCCTGCTTTCGGTGACCTGGCTTTGGGCCGGGGCTTGGCCTAGGTGGTCTCCAGAGGTGTCTTCCCACCTCAGTCATTCTGTGAGTCTCTGTTGTGTAACTAGTGACTTCTTGCTCTGCATCCACCCACTTGCTCGTGATCCCTTAAATGTTGGTGATCTCTTACTTGTGGGAGAACTCATGATTGGGGTAGACAGTATATATCTAAGAGGTAACGCAGTTCTGTCTTTGGATACCTTAGGTATGGGCGAGTTAACCAATTCTCACGTTTAACACATGCAGAGTGGAGCAGGTTCATCTCATCTGTGTTGGGTTAATGCTATTCTACTAAAAAAAACCCACAACACCTCCTAATGTGAGGATGCTTGTGGGGAAGAGTGTTTACAGTTATGCTATAGCTTGTGAGCTGAACAGCTCAGGTGACGAGGTCAGACACAGAACTGACTGCAGGAAACCTAGCGCTTCTGCTGCTCCCAAGCACTTGGGTCCTGCAGATCTCACCATGAAAAAATATGAGATCCTGCGGCCAGTGTCCTGGGGTTCAGGTCCCACGGTGGAGCTCTGTTTCTCTGACCCTCGTATATTCTGGCCCTTCCTAAAATCTGAGGAAGGAGCAAGAAAGCAGCCTCTTTCCCAGTGGCTGAGAGGTTAGTTGTCTGATAGTTTCTAGTCCCAGCTTATGTCATGTTTGTTTGCAAATCCCCTTTGCAAGGAACAGGAGACTGTCTTTTGCAATTTCAGAAGTCACCCCAATACTTGCTAGCAAGTAACAAAATTACTTGAGCCATCCATCTCAAACACTCCCCCGTGTGGTAGCTCTGCCATTTCTTTTTTTTTTTTTTTTCCCCGAACAGTTGCAAAAATAATCTTATATCCTTGTTCACTTGCAGACTGACACTGAACTACTGCTGAGGCATTTAAAGCCTAACCATCAAGTTTCACATTTCCTGTTACACACCTAAGACATTTTAGTGTAGAACGTAGATTGAACCCAATGTGAGATGCATCTTTTTTTTTAAAAAAAAAGCACTAACAAATAAAGCCTGAGCTGGGAACAAACTTCGGCAGTATACAAGGGGAAAAAAGTGAAAAAAAGTAAACCCAACCATCATGAGATGAGTGAGATATATAGGAATGCATTAGTTTGCATGTAGTAAGTAGGTGAGTGTTTTTTTAATGTTTGTTAGGCTCCAGTACACCTGCCCAGTAAACAGTTAGAGTTTGCATGTAGTTTTGTCCGGTGGAGTAGCCCCATCCTTCTTTCTAGGAGTCACACTGTATATGTAGACTAGTACTGGGTGTCCCTGTTTTGCACCAGCGGTCGGCTAGTTGTATTATGGTGGTAGCTAGAAAATATATGGACAAAGGTAAAATTATGTTTAGCAAAGGGAAGAACAATGTTTTGCTGTTGTAGGGCAACAATCCTAAGGTTATGGAAGATTCACAGTGGAGGTAGGCCACCTTTCTGCAAGTTGATGTGATCAATTTGTTTAATATCGTAATTTGTTGCTCTTGTTTAATTCCAAGAGTCTTAAACTCTCAGTAAATTCTCTTGTTATTTATTAACTGTCCTGTTTGGAAGTATGTATTATCTTACTAGAATTTGCAAGTACTGTTAGTTTTCTAACTTGCGGCCTCTTTAAAGCATTCACTATGTGAAAGCTTATATGCAATAGCAGTTTTAGAAAGAAAAAAAATCTAAAACTGAAGACAAGGTGGTTCTCTGATTTTTTTTGTTCTTGTTAAAACTCTTTAACCAACTACCTCCGCTTTTGTTGTTCAGTGTACGATTAAAACATTGTGCCACTCCACGAACAAATTAATTGGAAGAGAAGTTTTGCACAAGCAAAAGTAAAATCTAGTCTTTCAGTAAGTAAACACGTTGCCTCATAAGTAACCAACCTGGTTGGAAGGCAAGTTGAAGACAGTGCTACTGAGGAAGAAAGAAACCGAGAATGTTTTTAAACCAGTTGTACTTGTGTCATCTGATACAGCAGTGTAAAGAACAGGGCATTTTGTCTTCAAGGGCATCAGGAAAAGGGCCCAATTTAAGCACTTCAAATAAATAGTTCTGGATTTTCACTCTTTGAAAAACAAAACAAAAATGCAAACAAAAAATTACATACACACAAAGCCCCACGCATTTGCTTTCCAGATTTTCCATCCTGCTTTAAATAGCCAACTTTTCAGAAAATATTGGTTAGCCTTGTTTTTAAGAATTACCATGGTGAGAAATTTTGTATTTAGTTAGGTGGGAGTTCAGGAGTCGGTATTTTTGAAAATACTGCTAGAGAACACGTGGTAAAGATGTAACCTGTTAAGTTTCTCTCTTCATACTTGTTTTGTGTTGCTGTAGTACAATGGTGATCAATCTGTAGACTGACATGTCTTGTGCGGGTCTTTGTATTTTCTTTCTCTAGCTAAGGAAAAAAGAAACACCAAACAGCCCGACAGCTTGTGGGCAGTTTCTTCTTATCACACTGTGCTTAGATAGCTGCATACTAATAGAAATTTCTGCTTACCACAATATAAAAGCAATAACGTAAACTGTGATGTCTGTGTAATAGAGATGTTTACAATGGTAGCGAATAAAGAACGAGTTATTCTAAAACACTGTCAACATTATTGTGTTATGGCCTGCTAGAAAATGTAACAATTTCCCGTTAGCCATTGTTTCAGTTCATGCACTGTGATACAAGAGAAAGCTTTATCCTATCTCCTTTTTGGGGGGGATTGGTGAAGGCTTTTTTGTGGTTGTGTGGTATAGTCAGGTTTTTGTGGTTTTTTTTCCTGTTTTTCCCCCCCCCCTTTCCCTCTCCAGCTCCATTAACGTGTTTAGAGGTCTCTGGTTCTTGTACTGGGCCTGTGTTTGTGCCTAGCAAAGGCATTATTAGCAATAACGCTATAGCATTGAAATGGTTGGCAGCAGAACCTCTGTGTGTATGAAAGCTGAACTGGAAAACCACAGCTGGAACAAAGGCCAGCTGGCTCACACACGTTTACTAGTTTTTAAATCATTGTCTTAAGATATGAACCTTAAACACCAGAACACAGGAATAAGATTTAAATCTGAGAGATCCATACAAAAGTGCTTGCTTTTAACTCTCAGAATTAGTCAGATACCATGAAAAAACATGCTTACACAAGTCCACTTGAAATCTTCCATCTGTTGTAACAGGAAATTTTGCAATAGCAAAGTCCAAGTTTGACACACATTATGAACTTATGTGGGTTGTGACCTTTAACACTCCCTCACTCTATTTTCCACCATTAGTTCATCTCCATACAAGCCGTATTGTTTTTTTTCAGTTCCATTTGTATTTCCCAGGTAGCCTTTGTTTGTACTCCCGAATTTTGACACTGAAGTGCTACTACAGGAGAACTACCCAAGGTCTCACCTGGAGCAGTTTTTATTTCTTCAGAAGCATAGAAGAGGCCCTGCACTACCGAAACATCCCAGTCCTCCAAACCTCAAACGTCAGGTTGGTCAGTTATGCAAATACCAGTTCTTTTAGAAAACAGGCTGAGAAAGCAGCTATTCAGGAAACTTAAACTAAGATACTGAGGACCACAGCAAAGTTAAATTATCTTCTGACATGACATGCTCCGAGATGTTACCTGCCACCACATATTGCAGTTCAGACTAAGTTGCTGCATCTCATCCTTTG